TGATGATTGGATGGATCTGTGAACTGTATTTGATATATGAATCTTGGAATACGTGTTATATGTTTTATAGACTATTAGTGAACTCTGTTTAAATGTACCACTGATTTTCGGAGACGTACCACTGAACTAAAGAACCTTGGAATATGAATCTTGGAATGTGTGTTATATGTTTTATAGACTATTAGTGAACTATGTTGAAATGTACCACTAAACTAAAGAGCCTTGCTCCTTTTACTATTAGAAAAACCTACACCTTTGATACCACTCTATCACAACCCAAAACTCGAGCCGGTGACTAGCACTAGGATCTCTGACCCTAGTCAACCTCACAATAATATACCATGCTCAAAAATGAACAAAATATATATATATATATATATAACCATCTCATGCTATACAAATACAACACTAAAATCCTGTCTAAGTAGTAAAGAAGCACTAGAGTACAAAAAGGTGAGCAAAAGTACATGCCCGTACATCAATCAAATCTGCAGACGACTGTCCTAACTCTGGCATGCTACTCGAGAACAGCAAACCAAATCTGAAATATTTATAAAATGTGAGTCGCGAAATTCAATGAGTATAAAGATACCTAGGCTATGCATGTTGGGATATGTATCATATTACAAGTTCAAAATCATATATATACATACATATACACAATGAGTAGTATCAGTATCAAAACACACATATGTGGGAGTACAATGATCACTGAGACTCCAGTTTCGATCGGTGGAATCCTCCGTCTCACGATCAGACCCAACACAGTCACATACCATGCTTTCAGTCGAAAGACATCCTTCATCTCACGACTGGAGCAACACGCCCACCAGGACAACCATACTACGCTCCTAGTCGAGATACATCCTCCATCTCACGACCAGAGCAAAACATCACGCCTAGCAAGGCAACCGTACCATGCTCCCAATCGAGAGGCATCCTCCATCTCATGAACCAAAGCAACACGCCCACTAGGGCAACACGGTATGAGTGCATCACACGACTCCTCACACATAAAGTCAAACAGAAACACATACATATGCAGTTCACAATCTCAAAATCTGTATCGCATACCAACGTAGTTCACTAACAGATAAACAATCACATAACACATATCCCAAGTGTCATATAACCAAAATATAGTTTAGAAAATGACATAATCATTATGTTAGAAAATATAGTATGAAAAACACATCCATAGGAAGGGTATCATCACTCACAGTATAGAGCTAAATCAAAAAGGAAGTCTCGATCACTCTCACTGGTTTGGGTGCACCTTCACTAACGTATCTGTAACCAAAATCACACAAAACTATAACCATCACCAAAACCAGCAAAAGAAATGAGCTCGGTAGCCCAAAACTAGACTCAAATCCCTTCCTGACACCCTGGCATGCATATCGAGGCACCACTACCCCATCACTCTGACCCACATGACTCGCAACTCTCATCAATTTAACACAACAGCCCTCGAACAATAGAGAACCAACCTTCAAAACTTTTGAACCATAATGAACTGACCTCCAAAACCCCTAAACCAACCTAAATCGATTTAAAACTACCTCAAATCGAACTGAACCGGCCAGGAAACTCTCAAAATTGGATTTAGAATGCCCAAAAATTCTGGGAACCGATCTGATCCGGTCAAGAACTGCTCAAAACAATGCTAAACCGGCCACTAGAACACCTGAACTAGCTTGAATCGGGCCGATTCAACCAAAAACACCAAATTTCTGGTTGAACCAAACCTCCTCGAACCCCTAGACCAACTTGGTCCAACAGATCTTTTCTTCTTGAATCCAAAACCGGCTCAACTTCTCAAATTCAAGTTAATTTGACCACTAAACTGGCCGGTCAAACATTAAACCGTCTCTAGACCAGTTCAGTTAACAAAAAACCCTAATTTCGATGGATAGCTTATCCTTGCCTGGTTATGCTATTCCAATTTGACCCTTATCCCTATTCTACCCTATCTCTTACGATAACATATCCTAACCACTCACTGGGTCGACTTATCGAGTCAACCTAATCAAATCAATTGCTAGGCTGAGTCAACCCGTGAGTTGACCCAGCCCGGCCTAGCCCTATGGGCTGGCCCACTGGCCGCAGCCCAGACTAGCCAAGCCCAAGCCCAAACGGGCCTGGCCTAGCCCGAAATAGGACCTGGATCATTCCGAGTCCTTTCTCCTTCGCTCATCTACCCGACATTCAAACCCGGTTGCAGGCCCGACACCTACAACCAAAAATAAAAAAAAAAAAAAAAAAAACAGACAATAAAAACCAACTTACCTCTACTGATCAAGATTAAGGCTTGTAGAACTCATTCTGGCAAACCACACTGGACCTTTTAATCGGATTAATTTGCTCCCAACAACTTAAAATCCCGAAAAAAACTCAGCTCAATCACTAACGAACAACTGACTAAGAATAGCCCTGATTTCTCCCACTCATGTATGTTGTTTTTGAAATAAACAGGTGGGAAATGCTCGCCTGCCTTAAATGATCACAAACGTGTAAGATTTCAGCCGAAATCATTGCAAATCATGGTGGTATGGCGATGAACAGTGCTCAGGTACTCTTGATCTAGAAATTCTCTGTCTTGTGATGATCTAGTCCTCCAAGTTTTATTTCCTTTCAATCGTGCCCCTCCAAAATTCTAATTAAGTCATTTCCTCTTTTATTCATTTCGATTTAACCCTCAAAATCTCAATTTAGCCTCAAAATTCCCTGATTTGATGATTAAACCACCAAAACTCCCAATTCCTTCACCTACCCCTTCCCGAACTATAATTTGGCCCCAATAACTTTTAATTCTTGCAATTAGGTCCTTAATCTTAATTAAATTATAAAATGAGTTACTACATAATCCAAATTCGAATTGTTGGATGATTATATATTTGTCATTTTACAATTTAGAAAATATAATTTTAAACCAAAACAATAAATTCTTAAAGAAATATGAATTAGAAAATAATTTTAGAGTTTGAAAGTTTTTTATGTAATGTAATTATGTTTGATCTATTATAAATAGATTGACTTGCTAATAACGTGTACTAATTACATTTAATTCATCAACATATATATATTACTATTTTTGTTTTTAAAAAATAATAAAAATTTGTTTCTAGTTTCTATTTTTTTAAAAATAACTTATTATTTAATGCTCCTAAATAGTTTAGAATGTGATATATGTAATATTATGTCATATTATATATTATTTGTATCATATATATAATATATATACCAATTTAGATATATAATAGATTGAATTTAAGAAAATTCATATTTACATTATTTATTTCAAATTACTATATTTTTAAATGAGATTATATATATTAAATCTTTTATTGACGAAAATTTTAAATAATTATATCGTATTTGAATTGAATTTGAATTAAAATGTGCTGTATTGATGACCCCAACCCAACTACCCGGGTGTTTCAAAATTTTACTTATATTTCTTTAATTAATGAGGAGAGATGCAAGTAGCAATACTACTACGCACGATCCCTTTGAGGAGAGTAGGGTTATGCCTAAAATTTTACTTGTATTTCAGTTTAAGTCATTCATTTCTTTACAATTCATATTGGGTCCATTTCATGATTGAATTAAATTAATGCATTCACCCTCGAAGCCGCCTTCTAAAGGTCATATTATATGGATTAAGATCAATAAGAAGAAGAGTAATTGAAAAGTTTATTTGCCCATTCAATTTAATTGAGTGTGAAGCATGGCCAAGCAATGTTCCATGGCTGGTTGTTTATCCTCCTCTCAAATGGTTCAGTAGCTGTGTTTAACATGACAAGAGGACAAGAGCTTTTTGCTATGCTTTCTGAAAGAAGAAATTCCAAACCATTCAGACACAACACTCATTCATCAGATGCTGATGATGATTGCCCAACCCCACCTCTCCCCAAATGGAGTCAGAGGATGTTCCCGGACTATGTGCCATGTTCCCTTCATGTAAATGCAAGTGCTAGCTGTCTAGTTATCCTCCCATTCTAGGACAGAAACTGTAGTCATTTGCACATATATGTTTGCAAAATTGCTGTGTGGGAGAGCACTACAGCAGCAGATGTGAATCTCTTGAACAGTTAAACTGAACCCATCTCTCCTCACAAATTGTGTTGAAAATAAGCTCCATTGCCTTGCATATATAAAATGTGGGAAATTTCTAGGGCTTTATATAATTATATAAAATTATATTTTAATTTAATAATTGTTTAAATGAGCCGATATTGAGTTGGGGATTTACTAAAACTAAATTCCCTCTTTTCTTAATGGAAGTACTTAATCTAAATACAAGATAAAGAGATTAGAACTTAATGGGTCATTACCAAGCTCACCTAGCTTTGATTAAGTTCATAACACCTCTGAAGCAATAAATTCAATTTCTTTTTTAAAAATAATTCATAATAAAAATTGACCAACAGTACGTGACCGTACTGTGGCAAACTGTTGCAAAACTCAATCCATTTTTTTCAATTTCTTATTTGGTACTTGATACCAATTAATAAAATAAAATATAATAATTTTAGAGGTGATTAATAGCTCCCTGATAAATTAATGCACAAGTTTTTTTTTAAATTTTTTTATCACATAAAGGGACAAAACCCATAGAACAAAACTACGAGACGTTACCAAAAAAGAAAAAAGAAACTACAGAGACGCGGGAAAACCCTAAAGGTTCGTCTACGTCATCAACTCTCACTGGGCTTTTGAATTGGGCCAGAACAGGTTAGCACCCTTTATGAACAGGCTGCAGGCCCATATAGTCCACACTGAGAGCAACCCTAGATTTTAACCTTAGTACAAGTATAAACTCACTCGTACACTCTGATCGTTGCTTACCCGCATAGGAATGATGTCGAGGCGAGGTCAGTTCAACTCTTCTTCTCAATTCTCGAGCATGTCCATTTCTGCGATGTATTTATAAGCAAGCAGTGTACTCCATTCCTGCTATCTGTATGGATGAAAGTTGCTATTTTGGTTTTTGTCGGATGCAGGGCGTGGAGGATACGCGGGGGAACAAGTTTCACATGTCACTGGGTCTGCCTGTGGTGGCGACGACGAACTGTGCGGATAACACGGTGGCGGGAACCTGTATATCATTTCGGTGAAGGGGATTAAGGGAAGACTTAAACTACTGCCCTCGGCGTGTGTGGGATATGGTGATGGCCACCGCGAAGAAGGGAAGCCTGATTTGAGGAAGTAGGTTATGCTTGCTATCATCGTCAGGCACCGCAAGACCTGGCGCAGAAAGGACTGTGTCTACAAAGGTCAGTATCGAACGGTATTTTATTTTATTTTTTTAAGAATTTTTGTCTGTTCAAATTAGTGGTTTATCATCTATGAGTATATGCATTGGATTGCTTTCCAGGAAAGTGCGAGTTGCTCGTGGCTTTGTGTTCTTGCGGCGGCTGAAAGTCTGGAAACATGTATCGGTTTTTCTTTTTATCTAAAACGGCGTTAACTTTTGGATTACCACGTTTTATTGCTTCTGAGATCTTCTATTTCAATTGTCTGTTAGTCATATTCATAATGCGGGGTAGTAGGAAGCAGCATGCTCATCTGGTTCTCCTGAGATTACCTGCAGCAAGCTAGCATCAAACGTTAGAATGAGTGGGTTGTAGCTTGACGGCCATCTATCTATCCTTCTTTTGGTTTCGATTATTTTGTGGCCGTTTATGATCATTTAATGGCGAGATCTGTAAGGACGATTTACATACCAGTTAATTTTGCTGGTGATGTGGTGTTGGGAATTATTTTCTTCTGTTTCTCTACACCTCCCATACCCAGCTAAATTGAAAAAACCAATCTTACCCCTATACCGGATGGTAACTTATTTTTATCACCCCTGTCAAGATTGGTACAGGTATATAAACTGGTGTGCCCTCTTCTTGGTCATTTTGTTATCGTGAAGTGAGATTTTAGAGACACCTTTTATTATTGTCTGAGAAGCTTTCTGTACTGTCCATTGTTCTAGAAGTGAATACTCCAGATAAAGTCAGGTGTCCTCCATATTTAGTGGTTGATGCAGTTACAAGTCTGGAAAATTGACAATGTCTATCGTTACAGTTGCAATTATGCTGTTCTAGATTGCACCTGCTCCATTTGGGCCTTACATGCTGAAAGCATTTCTCTATTGCTGTTTCTTCATTAAATTTGACTTGTCTTCTTCTTACCTTTTCATTTGGGCTTTCTGTACTCTGTTATCTTGTACTCTATTTACGTTTTGATGTTGTTTTGCTAGATGAATTCGCTGCATGTAAACCATCCGTGGAAGAGACATAGGCTGTGAGAGAAGCCATGGGAGCACGACTAGTCAACAGCCTCTCGTAGCTCCAGATGGACTAGCTGGGTTTATGGCTGATATTAAGAGAATCCAGTAGATTATGTTAACCATTATGGCAGGATTTCAGCATATAATGATTTTTATTTGAGTATGCTAGGTCAAGGGAGATAGGAAGCTCAGCCTAGTGCAGATCAAAAGAGACAGGAGACTCGGGTTGGTACAAGGGGACAGGAGGTTCAGGCTAGCAGGGGGGTCCGTTCTGTAACTGCTGGTCCGTTACAGTGCTAGGCTGAACCTCCCGTCTCCCTTGACCTCTCTACTAAAGCAATTGTTATCTGTTGAAATCCTGTCATACTAGTCAACGTAATCTGCTGGAATACCTGAATCTTATCCATGACTCCCAGTAACACCCTCCTTTACAAATCGTGGTTCTCTTCAAGGTCCCTACTTGAGCAACGAGCACTTCTATTTTGAGCCATCAGCTATGATTGATATCCGAAACATTAAGGATAATGGGTTAAAAAGACATATAGCAACATGAATAGGCTGTGTTGATACACAAGGACTATGATGAAAAAGGAAAGTGATGGTGATGGTGAAGAACGGGGCAATGATGATGGACAATGTGTGCAGCGTCCAGAATAACGAATTGTTCCATTACAACCTGCACTTAATAATATATTGGGAGTGGTTCAGAATCTCAACACAGTTCAAAAAATGTACCATTAGTGTTGAACAATTTCAAACTAGTACATATGGAAGATTGGATAGAAAAATTGATAGCCCTGTTCACGGTTTAGGTTTGAACTGTGAATTGGCCTGGATTGGACCGGGAAAAAAAAATCGGACCGGACCAGATCGTCAATATCTGGTCTGGTCCAGTTCTGAACTGTGAAGGTTCGCGGTCTGGTTAAGATTCACATTTTTTTTTTTACCTGAATCGGAACAGGACGGACCGAACCGTGAACGATTCGGATGAATCGGAACTGGAAATGAACCGTGAATCGTGAATTGGAACTGTGTACAAACCGTGAACCGGAACCGTGAACTGGAACCGGGAATGAACCGTGAATCGTGGACCGTGTACGAATCGTGAACTGAAACCATGAATGAACCGTGAACCGAAATTGGTAATGAACCGTGAACTGGAAACGTGATGAACCGTAAAATATTTAGTATTTAAAAGTTTAATTTTTATTATTTAAAATATTTTTATTTTTCATTTAAAGTTAAAATAAAATATATTGTACATAGGGGTATGCAAAACTAACAATTAATCAAACTAAATTTTTAAAATTTGGTTTGGTGTTTTTAAATTTAGTTTGATTTAGTTTGGATTAAAAAAATAATTCAAATTTATGGTTGATTTGGTTTAAAAACCAAACTAAACCATTCTAAACTAAAAATCAAAATTTTAAAAATATTTTTGTTTCATAAAAAAATACACACACACGTTCATATATTTATATGAACATATATGTGTGTGTACACAAATACACATACATACATATGTACTTATATAAAAACACATATGTATATTTTATTCACTCGTATAAATATAAATATATTACATATACATATATTTATATTTATATAAATATATACTATAATAAACACACACAACACACACATGCATGCACGCACACATGTAAATATATATGTATGCATGTACGTATGTATACATATATAAATAGGTAAGTATATGTATTTACGTATTTATGGATACACACACACAAACACATATATTTCTATATTTTTATGAATATCTATATGTTAATATATATACATATACACGAATATATATGTTATGTATATATATAGAAATATATATACATGTAACATATATATATATATATGCATACTGAAATTTTAAGTTTAGTTTGGTTTGATTTATAATTAAATTAGATTAATTAGTTTCTAAAATATTAAAACAAAAAAATCAAATCAATTATCAAAAACCAAACCAATATTATGGTTTATATATACTCATATGTATGTGTACATATGCACCAATAATTTATATTTTTTTGTGTTTATACGAGTATACACACACACACACACACACACATGAATATATACATATATGTATGTATGTATGTATATACAAGTATATACACACACACATACATATACTTGCATATATATACATATTTGATAATAAATAATTTATTTTAAAGTATTAAAACAAAAAAAAATCAAATTATCAAAAATCAAATCAAAATTGTGGTTTGCACACCCCTAATTATATGTAATTAAAGGTTAGAAGAGTTATGTAGTTCCATCCATTAGTCAATAAATTAAAGTAGCTAATTTATATATATACAAAAGGAAAATTTATTTTTCAATGTTTAATAGTTTAAATAAATTAGAAAATAGATTATTTAAAAAATTTAAATGATTTATAAGTTAATAAATAATTTTTTTTTGGTAAAATCAAATTGGAACCGAATTGAATCGTGAATGAATCGAAATTGAATCGAACCGTGAATGAACCGGAAACCGAATCGTGAATCGAACTGGAATCGAACCGTGAATCGAGCCGGGAACCAAACCGGGAACGAACCGTGAACGAACCGGGAAATCGAACCGTGAATGAACCGGAAATGAACCAGGAACGAACTGGAACTGGAACCGTGAACAAACTGGCATGAACCGTAACCGGAACCGGACGACTTTCAAGGTTCCGGTCCCGGTTCACATTTTTTCAGGATCGGAACCAGCGGTTCGGTTCCGGTTCACATTTTTTCAGGACCGGAACCGGCGGTCCGGTTCCGGTTCGGGCTGGTTCAAGGCCGTGAACAGGCCTAAATGGACAATGAAACATTCCCATGGAGGATAAGAAAATGAGATATATTCAACTATGTATTTCGTTGTAATTGTGAAATCTAGCCTTTCTTGTAAAACCCATTTATGATGTATATTATAAGATGTCTTTTGGCATTTTGGTTTTGGAATATGTTATATTGTAGTTCAATGGTTTCAAAAGTTTTTGATTGATGCAATGTAAATTCATAATAATTATTGAGAGGTTTTGACGCTTAGTTGTCTACCGACAAGTCCTACTTTCTTGTTAAACTACAATTCATAAAATTATTTGATTTGGTTATATTTCAAATAGTTGCTTGTATAGTATGATATATATGCTTTTAAGGTAGTTAAAATGGGAATATTTGAAATATGGCAATATTAATGCATGTCATTTGTCTTGTTTGAGAAACCTGAGGAGGGTCTTAATTTGGTGTTTAGTTTGTAAGCTTTTTTGGGCTATTGGTTTAATCTTTGTGTTGAATTATTGCCTTACTAATTAATTATAAAATACTTTTAATTTTATTTAGATAATGAAATGTTACGTGTTTTTTTTTTGTTTTTTGCATTTTGGTTATTTTACATTTTGATTGAAACTCTAAATCATTTATGTTATGGGATTAGGTCAGTGCATACAATGACCAACATGAAACATACTTCTATTATTGTAATTTTAATATATTATGGGTAGCAAGAAGATTTGGATAGATTTACACAAGTGATGTAATCATTTAAAGGAAAGTTTTTGTTTTATTGATGATTGGTGTCATATATACGAATTTATACGATTGGACACTAAATAGAGGATCAAGTTTATTGAATGATCTCGTTGTGAGAACATCATTTGAATTTACTTATATGCGTTATGATTAGTTTCTTATTTATGTTAAATATTTATGCCAATACACTAGTTAGTATTGGACTTGAGATTTGAGGGTAGTCTTGTGCATAATGGTTTATGTTTTGTTGTATTTCCCAATCACTTGATGGTCACAAAAGGATTTACGTTGGTTCTATGAAATTTATGTATAGAGGTAATGGAATCAATAAAGGATCTATTACTCATTCAGATGAGTAGGAAACTTTCTCTATATTTTTGTAATGTTCGATTTTATTAAAGATCTTACAAATAAGAAAATATTTTTTTATTTAGTCACACATAACCATATCAATTTTGAATAAGATACATAACTATTGAGGTAGCACGGACTCTGATAAATATTCAAATTTAGACCTTATTTAAAGATAATTAATATATGATTGTATCTACATAGTATTTATAAATGAAAAGATTTACATCTTTACTTCACTGATTGTTTTAAGTATTTATAATGATATTATTATTAGATGTGCACCATGCATCATGGTCATTTATTTAATTATGAACTAAATAAAAAAGTTAATTAAAGAAATTTAATTAATAAAAGTAATTACTTCCTGACATAGCTAAATAATTAGTGAATTTAAGAGATTATATACAAAGTTAGATAAGTCTATATTGTGATTAAATATTATTAATAATTAATAATATGA